CGAAGAAGTAGTAGGATTTCATCGAGCCTGAAAGAACAATTGGTATAAGAAGGAAGGTTAAAAAAGCGCAGAGAAAAAAGACGCCGCCTATTGGACTACGCTGCGATCGGGCGCAACGCGAGCCATGTGGGACCGTTATAGGGAACTAAAGAAAGAAGCGAGACGTATTTGCCGCAACAAGATAAGAGAGACGCCGAAATACCTGAGTACGAAGAGATTGAGATGCCGACAGGAAAAACGCCCGAAAATTGTATCAGAGAGTTAGGCGACTTGCGGAAGGTTTCAAGGCCAGGGCGAACTCCTGTACGAACAACCATGGACACTTAGAGACTAATAACCAGAACGTACTTAAATTATGGAGGGAACACTTTTCCACACTATTGAATGGTGGAATCACTGGAAGTAGTGGAGAAGACGAACCAGAGCCCCCAGCCCCAGAGCTGATGGCCTGTCAGCCGAGCTATTCAAGCAAGGAGCTGATGAGGTGCGTGCATCAATATGGTCAGATGAACGCATGCCCGACGACTAGATTTTATGTTTGCTCTACCCAATCCACAAGAGAAGCGAACCCGCTATTTGCGACCATCTACCGCGGGTTCAGCCTTTTAAGCATAGGTTACAAGGTCTTTTCGAGTGTATTGTAAGTGATTGGACCTTATCAGTATGACTTTAGGCCTGGAAAATCCACCATAGATCACGTATTCACAATAAGCTAAGTCTTGGAAAGGCCCGCGATTATAAAATCGAAACACACAATCTAAGTGTCGGATACAAAGCCGCTTTCGACAGCACGAAGAGAAGTTGTCTTTATGCCGCGATGTCTGAATTTGGTATACCCGCGAATCTAAACGGCTGTGTAAAATTACATTGAGCAATACCAACAGCTCCGTCAGAATTGGGAAGGATCTCCGTGTCGTTTCAGACAAGCTGATTCCCTTTCGTGTGATTCCTTTAATCTGATGTTGGTGAAGACAATAAGGGCCACAGAACTGAACCGCTCAGGCGCAATACTTTAGAACAGCGTACAATTTCTGGCGTATACCGACGGAATCGATATTATCCGTAAAAACAAGAGCTACGTCTATTCTGCGTTCTCGGGATTAGCGAATGGGTCTGGTGGTAAACGGTCATCACAGAAACAGTCAGAGCATACGCGTCTTGGCACACAGGTCACTGTTAACGGTTACAAGTTTGAAAAGTAGACGACGTTTATTTGGGAACCAGCATTGACAGCAATAATAATGCTGGTGTATGGCGCGCAGTCATGAACATTAAAAACATCTGATGAAGCGGCTCTTAGAATTTTCGAGAGAAAAATTCTGCGAAATAACGCGTTTGTGAGTGCGAATACCGCAGACGATTTTACGATGAGCTGTATGAGCTTTACAACGTTATAGACATAGTGCAGCGGCATTCCTATTGCGTATAGTGAATTAACGAAGGAAAACTATGAAATTACGAGAAAAGTTTCTTATGTTAAGAGCATCAGTGGAAAGTTACATATGTGTGTCGCTTTTTTACCAGGACTCCAATTTGGAAAATTAGTCACAATGGATAAAAAGAGTCGCCTCTATGAGCTTTTGGTACCAATTGAGAGTATTCTCATAAAATTTTCTTTAAGACGATCG